TTTTAAAGCCAGAAATGGTTATTAATGTGAGCTCTCTGCGTGGCTGGAATATGGGTCATTTTACTAATTAAGAACAGAGGGAGTGGAGGGACCGTGTTCGCCGTCTCCTCCGAGGGGCTGACTCCTGTGGTAGACTGAGCTCCGTGTCCTGCTAAGAATGGCCCAGGCTCGGGAACAATCCACTGAAGACCAGGACCTGCTCCCTTTGGGCCCTGAAGCCAAGCGGGCGGCAGTGTGGCTTCGGCGAGAGGAGGACTCTCAGGCTAAAGGAAGCTTCAGGGTAACTGTAGGTCATTGTAAATAAACCATCACTGAAAACCACAGCAGCCAGGTCTGGGGCTCCCCGCGTCGCTCTGGCCACGGACAGTAGCGCCTGCGTGAGAGCCTGGTGTCAGGCGGGGGGAGGGCTGCCTCCACGCTGGGGCCGGGGCCCAGCAGAAGGTCCCACGGGATGAATCTACCACATTCATCACGACAACGGGCTCTGGACCACTCCCTCTGGGAACTGTCCTGAGAACGCCACACGGCTAACTCACTTCACCCTCCCGAGCACCGGGGGTCGGTGTTACGAGGGTCTGACTTGCACACCTGAAGGGAAACTGAGGCACGGGGATGCTGAGTGCGCCCAGGCCCCTGGCTGGGAAGGGGTGGTGGCAGATGACAGCCTTTTCCGTGCACCCAGGGCTCCTCTGGATGCCATGTGCCTATTCTCTCTGTGCCCCCTTCTCCGATGGGAGCTGGGAGTCATCAGCAGCGCTCACTGAGCCACGCACACGGCCCGGCCCCGGCCAAGGCCGGCCCGGCTCAGCAAGGTGCCTTCATTCACAATGAACCACACGACTCCTTCCTTTTCCTGGCTCCCACCTGTGCTAAGCCGTTTCCAGGGCTCTGCCTTACCAGTCAGGGATTCGGTAGTGGGACCCGCATTCAGAGGAAGGGGAAACGACCTAATGACAGCAGAGGGGACGGCAAGGACGATGGGTTGGCAGCAGCAGCTCTTACTCAGTCGTGACCGCGAGCGAGGCCTTGAACCACGTGCTCACATGTGCGGGTCCATTCATTCCTCCTGAGGACCTGACAGTAGGTGCAACTATGACGCGCATTTTACAAATGTTTAAAGTGAGGCTTACAAAGGCTAGGTCCCAAGGGCAAGACTAGCAAGGAGCAGTTAGAGGACTTCAACCCAGACCTGATTCCAGAGTCCACATCTTAATTTGGATGTCAAAGTCCTTAAAATGGTTACTCAGAACACCCCGGTCCTCCGCCAGACCGAGCACCAGCTCCAACCGGAGTCTCAGCCCACGGGCAGCCCCGCCAGCCCTGAGGCCCACTTAGCCCCGAGCCCACTCCACACCCAGAGCACCGGGTGCTCCCACGGTCCACCCGCCCACCTCTGACCTCGTCTCCACCGAGAACGCAGGCAGCACACGCGTCCCGACTCAACCCGGGGCATGCTCAGGCTCTCCCGCTGGAAGAGGACACACCCACCCCCCAGTTCACGGGCCACAGGTCCCTCAAAGGTCCAGACGCCACAGAGGGGACCTGGCTTTCAGCAGGTCGTTCACAGCCTCTGCTGCCGGTGCCGCGTCTACCCGCACCCCCGCCCGCGCCCAAGCCGGAGGGGATTACGACTTTGCTCTGGCTTCCATGGGGTCGGGTCTGCATGAGCAGGAGCAGGGGCACATCAGGGGCGGAGTTTACAATGGATGTGTGCACCCGCCACCAGACACCCCACAGGGCTCGGCCTCGACTCACCTTATGGCACATGTAGGAGCCGCCTTTCTTCACCCGGTCCTTCCCGGAGGGGGGGCCCTTCTGTGGAGGGAGGAGAGCTCCTGAGTCCAGAGCGCAGCTCCTCTCGCCTTGGACAGAGTCCGTTCAGTCCCACCAGCTCCCTCGGGGTGGCCTACACCCCACGTGCACTTCCTCCAGGGCCTTGCGCCTGCACCCCTGTACCCCACAAGCCCCCTCCAATTCCCACCATGCTCTAAGGCCCAGCCCCACCTCTCAACCCACAGCACTTGTCGCCTCGATGACCAGGACACTGCAGCGGCGCCCGGTGTCACCCCGACATCACCCCGTGACCCTGCTCCCCCTGATCCGCAGTCACCCGCACCCTCACTGGCCTGCTCCACCAGCCGGCCGGCCTCTCTGAATTAGGTCTTCACATCCTACTGTGCGACTCTAATAAACCCTTTGCTCACTGAAGGAAGGAATTTGCTTTTTTTTAAATTTATTTATTTATCTATGTATTTTTTAAATATATTTTTATTGATTTCAGAGAGGAAGGGAGAGAGATAGAGATAGAAACATCAATGATAAGAGAGAATCATTGACTGGCTGCCTCCCAGGCAAATGCCCTAACCTTGACCTCCTGTTTCCTAGGTCGATGCTCCTGGGCACACATGCTGCCAGGTGAGATCAGAGACGGACTGAGCGTCCCCCTGGGGAAGCCCCGGACTAACTCGAGAGCACCGGGCCTGCGGGCTGTACTCACTGGGTTAAGTGCCTCCTCAGCAGAATGGCGCACGGCCCACCAGTCCGCCGTCCACTCCCACGCGTTCCCCACGATGTTGTACAAGCCGTAGCCGTTGGGAGGAAAGGCATCGACCTAAAGAGACACAAGGGAAACCATGGTCACGCTCCTCACCTCGCTCAGAAACCTGTGTGTCGCCCTGGCTGGTGTGGTCAGTGGGTAGAGCGTCGGCCTGTGGACTGAAGGGTCCCAGGTTCGATTCCGATCAAGGGGGCACATGCGGGCTCCATCCCCAGTGGGGGGCATGCGGGAGGCAGCTGATCAATGATTCTCTCTCATCATTGATGTTTCCTTTCCATCTTTCTCTCCCTCTTCCTTCCTCTCCGAAATCTATTTAAAAACAACAACAAAACAAAAAAACAAAGAAACCTCTGTGCACAGAAACACACTAGGAGCTGTAACTTCAAAGTCTGAAAGTAAGTAGGAGCCACTTTCCGGCTGGCTCTCCAGGGGAATTCCGAAACCTAAGGAGAGTGTGCACACATCACACGGGAGGGAAGCCAGCACAGCTATCCGTAATGAGAGACTAGTACTGATCAGAAGTCAGATACAGATCTGACGGGGAACAGAACCCACGTTAGACCCACTGTGAGCTGTCCTCAGCTGGGCTGTGCTGGCCACACAGTGTCTCACCACCAAGTCCCCACGCCAGCTCTGTCCCCACCGCCAGCGCCACTAACCCCCGTCCTCAGAGTCACGAGCAGAATGGGTGGATGCACCACATGCTAACAGGGCCCCAGGGCAGAATTTCCCTTTGAATTTTCCCCCTTATACTCCTCTTTCACAGTTTCTACAGTAACTATCCCGGAATCAGAAAGGAAACCATGTTAGAAAAACACTGCCTGGTCGGTCACTAGCGTTCGCTGTGTGCACAGCGGCTGGACGTGGGGCAGAAAGGAGCGAGGCGGTCACCCACCCCTCGTCTCGGTCCCCGGGCTGCCGCCTCGTCTGCAGCCTCACTACTCACGGGCGCGGTGCCGCGGAAGCCGTCCTCGCCGGTGTCGGTCACAGGAAACTCGCCCTGCCAGAGGTTGGCATAGTGCTGGCCCCTCGGCTGCAGTTTGTTGCCCCAGGGGAAGAGTCTGCCGGGAGAGATGCAGGTGTCAGCCGTCAGCCCAGCCCACGGGTGTCAGCCCGGCCACGGGCATCAGGTGCCGCACAGGCCTCAGCCCGGCCACGGGCACGGGATTCTGGACTGAAGTCGCCAGCAGGGACGCAGTGGAAGGGAACACCGCTCGTGTGCTCTGAGTGAGCTATGTGATCTTAAATCCTAAATGTGTAAAAATAAGCAAAGCGTCTACTCAGGGCTTTGTAACTCCCGCACAGCTAGTTCACGTCCAGGTCCCACCCATCTCCCTGGGTGCTCCCTGGAAGCAGTCGCGGGACTAAGGGGACTGGCGGAAGCTGGGAGGCGTGCGGGCTGGGCCCACAGGGCAGCGCCCGCACCGTGGCCGCACGTTTTAGAGCAGCGGTTCTCAACCTGTGGGTCGCAACCCCTTTGGGGGTCGAACGACCCTTTCACAGGGGTCGCCTAAGACCATCGGAGAACACATATATAATTACATATTGTTTTTGTGATTAATCACTATGCTTTAATTATGTTCAATTTGTAACAATGAAATTGGGGGTCACCACAACATGAGGAACTGTATTAAAGGGTCTCGGCATTAGGAAGGTTGAAAACCACTGTTTTAGAGGCTTCGCTGCTCTAGCAGCTTTTCCCACAGCGAGTTTCCCGGCTCTCGGCTCCTGCAGCAGAGAAAGGCGCTGCTTCCAGAGAAGCCTGAGTAAGAAAACGCTGGCGGCCGTGGCCACGAGCCCTGGGAGGCCTGTGCCACGCCAGCCTGGCCTGCAGACGCCATGGATGCAGGAGCCGCCCGCCCCACACCCGCTGACCACTGGTCACGTCGCAGTAACCGGGGCACAAGGCAAGCCCAGGACGGAAGCCTGGTGTAGAGCGACTCTCTCACCAGAACCAGGCCCAGATCTGGAAGCAGCCAGCACCTGTTTGGGCAAGACGGGCCATACCTGTCGTGCAGGCCCCCGCGGCAGCTGTACTCCCACTCGGCCTCCGTGGGCAGGCGCTTCCCGGCCCACGCGCAGTAGGCCACCGCGTCGTTCCAGGAGACGTGCAGGACCGGGTGGTCCGGCCTGGAGACAGCGAGCGAGGAGGGAGTGAACTGCAGGGCACAGACCAGCTCAGCAAAGCCCAGTCCCCTCCGCCCTCGACACTGACGCGGTCCTGGTCCCCAAGCAAGCCCCCCACCACGGGGTTCTGACTCCCCAGCTCCCAAAGGGTGACAATTCCTCTTAGAAGCACACTCAGACCCATCATTTCTTCACTGTGCAGGCTCGCCCGGACCCCACGGAGCCTCACTTGGATGGTGGGTGTGAGAGCCTCCCAGCCCCCCTCTAAGAGGTGCTCCCACTGCAGGGTGCTGTCAGCCCCTTCGGGGTTCCCACAGCTGCCTGAGCCAGCTCAGAGCCACCAAGGGCTAACAAGGGCAGGGGCATGAGGCCCAGCCATTCTGGCCACTGCAGCAATCCTGTGGGCAGCAATTCTGTGGGTCTGTGTACCCCTAGCTCCTGCGGGATTGGGCGGGACTCCGTGGGCCCATGTAGTCTTAGAAAAAATGTCCTGGGCCCCGTGTCCAGGCCCCCAGCCTGCCACACCTGCTCTCCCTGTGTCTGCTGAAGAGCAGCAGCTGGCTGCCCCCCTCTGGAGTCCAAGTCGTTGTATTTTCTAAGGGTGCAGAGGGTCGAAGGGAAGGAAGTCGGAGAAGACAGGGACGGACATTCCCTGGGTGCTGTTTCAAGTGGCCTGCGCACTCCTAGTCAATCCCTGTACCTCCTAACTCCCTGCAGGAACGCACCCTGACCCCGTTCTTCAACAAATGCTGCTGAGCGCCCATTAGTGCCACTCGCTGCTCGTGGAACTGGTAAGAGAGGCACTTTCCATGGCTCAGTGACTGAGAGTCAACCTAGGAACCAGGAGGTCACAAAGTGATTCCCGGTCGGGGCACAGGCCCGGGTTGCAGGCTCGATCCCCAGTGTGGGGCGTGCAGATGGCAGCCAATCAATGATTCTCTCTCATCACTGACGCTTCTATCTCTCTCTCCCTCTGAAATCAATAAAAAGATATTTTTTTAAAAAAAGAGATGCCCTCTTCTCAGAGGATGGATTCTGGGTAAAATGCATGCCCTGTGGGTTTCGTTAAGTTCAAGACAGATGCTGACTGGGAGCTCAGAGGGCAGTCACCCTGAGAGACCCAGTCCCGCGTGACTGGCCCCTCCCAGCTTGTCCCAGTGGAGGCTGCCACCCCGGGCTCCAAAGGCCTCCTGCCACTTGCCCAGGGGCTGCGCCCCATGCAGAGCTCCATGTACGCCGGCCGGGCAATGAAGACAATCACCAGGAATGTGGTCAAACCAGGGCTGGGAGCCCCGCCTGGAAGTGGGCCAGGAGAGCAGTGTCCTTGGGCCCCGAGCTGCCGCCCTGACCCAGACCTGCTCCCCCGGGCTGAGTGCTGCTCTATTTCTGCTGAGATAATTACTTCCTCGCCCCCGAGACGTGCTGGCTGCCCCCGCTCGCTCGGCGGAGTTTCAGTCAGCTGGTCTTTCCAAAGTGTGTCAGCCCCGGATGGGGGGAGATCCCCAGTGTGGGGCGTGCAGATGGCAGCCAATCAATGATTCTCTCTCATCACTGACGCTTCTATCTCTCTCTCCCTCTGAAATCAATAAAAAGATATTTTTTTAAAAAAAGAGATGCCCTCTTCTCAGAGGATGGATTCTGGGTAAAATGCATGCCCTGTGGGTTTCGTTAAGTTCAAGACAGATGCTGACTGGGAGCTCAGAGGGCAGTCACCCTGAGAGACCCAGTCCCGCGTGACTGGCCCCTCCCAGCTTGTCCCAGTGGAGGCTGCCACCCCGGGCTCCAAAGGCCTCCTGCCACTTGCCCAGGGGCTGCGCCCCATGCAGAGCTCCATGTACGCCGGCCGGGCAATGAAGACAATCACCAGGAATGTGGTCAAACCAGGGCTGGGAGCCCCGCCTGGAAGTGGGCCAGGAGAGCAGTGTCCTTGGGCCCCGAGCTGCCGCCCTGACCCAGACCTGCTCCCCCGGGCTGAGTGCTGCTCTATTTCTGCTGAGATAATTACTTCCTCGCCCCCGAGACGTGCTGGCTGCCCCCGCTCGCTCGGCGGAGTTTCAGTCAGCTGGTCTTTCCAAAGTGTGTCAGCCCCGGATGGGGGGACAGGAGCCCCGAGCCAAGACCTGAGCGTGCACAGGGGCCACCTGGCCGGACGTGCTTCTCCGCAGACAGTGTCCACAGCCCCTCGGAGAGGAGTGGCGGGCAGGCAGCAAGGTAATCCTGCCAGGAGGCGGGCGACTGGCCTGTCAAAGGGGCGCCTTCAGACAGGACGCGCAAGGGAGGAAGGCGGCCCCTTAAGAGCCTCCTGCGAGCGGTGCAGTGTCTGGGGCCTCAGGGGAACATGCTATTTCCTGCCGCTTCGTCCCAACCACCAGTCCGAGTGCCCGCCCTCCCGCCCTCCCCCGCAGATGGGCACCGCACTGTCCTCGCAGCAGCAGGGATCTGCCTGGGACGGAAACACGTCGCCGGGGAGAACAGCCCCTCACCTGTGCAGGACAGTCGAGTCGGGCCCCTCTGGGTGTCGCCAGCTGGCGCCTTTCACAGGTAACCACCAGGGAGCAGCCGCCACCTCAAAGCAACCAGAGGAGCCAGGTTAGCAGCGAGGCCGCAGGAAACGGCTCAGCACGTGCTCAAACGCGCCCACGGTCTCCATCCAAACGAACGCCTTTCCCAGGACGTGGGAAATAAAGACTTGGGTGTGAATAAATCTCTCACAAAGAGGAGCCGTTCATATCGTACAGCACGGTGGGGCGAGCACTGCCCCCTGCAACCCCCAGGAGATGCGTGTCATGACGCACCTGTTCCTGAGGTGGCCATGGCTTCCAGCCCCCCCACTTGCTGACCTCTCCTGGACAAACCCCAAGTTTACAGTCTCTGAGTGGGGCTCTTTCTGTAGGGGAGACTCGGCCTGGCCCGTGGGTTTCACGCGGGGTCTGTGGTGGTCCTAGCGGTGCCACCTCCACTCCCCTGGCGCTGAGGCTGTCTCCTCCGCTCCGGGCCGTGGTGGCCTCTTTGGAAGGGGAAGGTTGTGGACAGGTGAAAAGTCCCGTCCACGCTGAATGGTGGCTGGTGCGTACGTTTTCTTAGAGCCGCTGACCCCCGGGCACGCCTCCTGCTCTGGGGTGGACCTCATCTCTCCACAGAGGTCCGCAAGGACATCGCCGAGGTTCGGAGGGGTGATGTCAGGCCGATGTTATTGCTTCACCCGAGTCAGACCTCAGAGGGCCCGGGACTCGAAAGGGCACCCGAGGACACTTGAACAGGGTTCAGATCTGCGGCTCCGGGACCCGCCAGGCCCGTTATCCTGTCCCATCGGGGCTTCGCCTCCAGGGCTATCGCGCTTCCTACTTCCTGGGCAGACGCCACACACCGACTCCCAGGTCAGGCGACACCTGCTCTTTTCAAAGGCAGACACAAGACACGGCCATGGGACGTGCTCCCTTCTTATCTCATCCAATCAGCCAGCCGGGCCTCCCGAGCAGCTCACTGTGACCCCGCCTCACCCCACGCCCAGGCGCGCTCTCCCCCCTGGACGGGCCACGCCAGGTCGGAGCGGCAGCTTTCAACACCAAGTGCTCCGACAGAGGATCCCCGGCGCCTTCCTTCCTGACAAGGACTCACTCATGGCCTGAGTGCCACAGCGCCCCCGTCCCGGGCAGATCTGGCGAGGGACAGGCACTTGGACAAACACCCACATCACGTAAGGGAGATAAACTCAGGAGAGGCAGGCACGGGAGCCATCAGAACCAGCAGGTGGAGGAACCTAAGTCCGGCATGCGAGACAGAGGGCATTTCGGGTGGACGTCCCAGGGCAAGCCGAGCTGACCACACACGGCGAAGGTCTGGTCTGAGCTGGGGACAGGCAGGCCCTGCCAGGTGCTTGGCCTCAGGTGATCCCAACGCATCCCTGCCCGCCTGCAAGGCCCCGTCCTCCAGGGCCTCCTCCTCCCTGACCAGCCCCCCCACTCGCTTCCTGGCACCCTGTCCTCGCCGCCCCCTCCGCAGCGCCTGCCTGCGGTGTCCCTGCTGAGACTGCCTCAGCTGTCACTGCGGGCGCCACGGATGCCGGACACTCTTACTCTTCTGAATCTTTTCAAACAGATGATGCATGTGCTATCAGTTTTGTTTCTAACATTTGATATGAAATATTCATAAATCAGGTAAAAGAAATACAGTAAACTGGGTTCCGGGTCTATGTTGCTGCGTCCCTGGACTTCGAGACTGAGGCCAGGGAGGGACCTCTGTGCCAGTTCTCGGGACAGCACGGCCCTGGCAGACCGTGGGCATCTCTAAACCAGACGCATTTCAGCCAGAGAGCAAGCCTTCACCCCGAGGCAGCCACGCTCACGTGCATCCCCATGGACGGTGAAGCACAGGCCCGAGAGACGCAGACACAAGCAGGCATGAACCCAGGCTGGGCCTGTGCGCCGGGTGCAGGGCAGTGCCGCTCACCGCCCAGGACGGCCACCGGTGCTGGACAGCCGGGGCCACGCCGGTGCTGCTGACACGCGAGAGCCGCTTAGGTACTTACCGCCTGCTGGATGCCGGCCTTCACCTGCTCGCTCAGCAGGCCTTCGAAGACGAAGGAGTCGCCGAACTTCTCAGCCTGCAGGGAAAGGGACAGGACCCGGGGAGGGCTGTCATCACGCGTGCCCCCCGTGCCATTTCTCGGGTCCAGTACACTGAGCTCTCGCCTGACTTCCCAGGGGAAACAGAAATGGCCTGCAGCACCTGGCTTCCTACCCCTGGTGACCGTCACTCAGACACCATCCTGTCAGGCTCTGCGGCTGACACGAGTGCTTCCGGGGAAACTGGCTTTGGGAAGGTAACTGCTCCTGCGACGGAAAGCCAACCCCAAGCTTTCAGATAGTTTATGACACACTAGCCCAGTGGTCAGCAAACTGCGGCTCGCGAGCCACATGCGGCTCTTTGGCCCCTTGAGTGTGGCCACGAAGTTTCAATCGCACTGTACGTGCGCGCCCGCACGTGGTATTTTGTGGAAGAGCCACACTCAAGGGGCCGCAGTTTGCCGACCACTGCACCAGCCCCTTTTCATGTGGGATTTCACCACCAAGCCCTGTCCTTGTTCTTCCCAGATCCAGCCGAGAGCATTCAGTGCAGTGTGCTGATGCCCTGACACGTTCTAAGCCACGAAGGTGTCCACTGTGCTGACAGGGGCCAAGCACCGATGGAATCCGTATCTGACGATGTGCAGTTAACACACTGTCTGGGTCCCCAACTACCTGCTCACTCTGTGCACGTGACCCTCTCTGCAGGCACACACCTGGCCCTGGCTCTCTGTGACGCTACAATCCTGGGTTTCCTCCGTCTCCACCCTTCCTGCTTATCTCCTGAAACACACAGGCTCTTCCTCCAGCCCCCAAACACCGCTGCTCCCAGCCCTGCCCGGCCCACAGCCTCTCGGGCTCCGGCCATCGAGGAGGCCAGGCAGCTTGTTGCAGAGACTGGCTCTGGAGGTCGGGGTGAGGCCAGGAACCTGCACGTGAGAACAGGTCAGCGGCCGGTTCTCCGTCCAGGAGACCACTTTCTGGGACACACCACGTTTAGGGGACAAACTCCCAGTGCCATGGCTTTAATGAAGGAGAGCACCTAGTGCCTCTCACACCCCCACCCCCGGCCAGTGCTGTCCTCATGAGACACCGCCTACCTCCTGGGTCCCTGTCCCTGCATTTCAGGCCTCACGAGTACCTCCAACTCCTTCTCCTAAAGGAGCTCTTCTCATCACCTTTTCTCAACCCCCACTCTTCCTCCTGGGCTCTGTGGTCCCAATAAGCCTGCGCACCTAAGCCTTCACCCACACCCACCAGTACCTGCACACCTAAGCCTTCATCCACACCCACCAGTACCTGCGCACCTAAGCCTTCATCTACACCTACCAGTGCCTGCGCACCTAAGCCTTCATCCACACCTACTAGGTGCCTGCGCACCTAAGCCTTCATCCACACCTACTAGGTGCCTGCACTCCTAAGCCTTCATCCACACCTACCAGTGCCTGCGCACCTAAGCCTTCATCCACACCTACCAGTGCCTGCACTCCTAAGCCTTCACCCACACCTACCAGTGCCTGCGCACCTAAGCCTTCACCCACACCTACCAACACCTACCAGTGCCTGCGCACCTAAGCCTTCATCCAACACCCACCAGGTGCCGGCTTTGGACTGAAGGACAGAGCTCAAGGTCAGTATTAGAGGCGTGGCCCGCCCTCATCGTGCTTACATGGGGGCACAGACAAAAACCAAGCCAAATGAAGAAAACAGTGACAACTTGACTTGACCTTGTAAGGAAAAGAGTAGCGAGAAAGGCTCCTTTCACAGACTGAGCAGAGGGGCCGCCGAGGGGCCGTGTAAGCTGAGATGACTCACGGATGAGAGGCAGCCAGCCACGCACATCAGGGGCAGGCGCGGGGCCAGGAAACTCCAGGAAGGGGGAAACACGGGCCCCTGAGCTGAGAAAGAGGGGCGAGTCATCCAGGAAAAGAAGCAAGAGCAGCCATGAGAGCAGGAGGTGGGCTGGGAAGCAGGGGGGAGGGACAAAGAAACTGTGGCTAAACCAGGAGGCACTGTGTCCAGAACAGTCCTTAACCCTCCTTGCATCTGGACCCCTGGGCAGAGTGAAGCTGTCAGGACCCCTGCTCAGGGTGACATGTTGGATGGATAAAGTAAAATCAATATGATTACAAAGACAACTAGTTCTATCAGAATATTCATCACATTTGTGCTACAGTAATATATATGTGCTCTATATTAATATATTAAATACGATCTCGTGGCAGGTCCAATAGTTATCACTTCTAAGGAGGGGATGAAAGCAAACAATGACACGATGTCTTTAACAGCAACAATGAGACAAAGTGTCTGGTTTCTGTGGGCGACAGAATCACAGGTCCTGCTACTACTGTGGTTGGTCATCTGCCCCGTAACTGAAGGAAACGGGAGATCCCAGGTAGAGGGTAGAAAAGACACAGGAGTAACTTCCCCATCCGAGTTTCTGGCCGCCCTAAATTCTGCGCCTCCCGTCTTCACGAAGAACCCTGGTCTAAGCTTCCGTCCCTGGGAGTCAGTCGCCTGCTACTTCATCGCACTGTTGAGGAACCTGGCCGAGAGCATCCTTAGGCCACAGGAAACACGGGGTCTCTGCTTCCACAAACAGGCACGAAAAGACACACGCGCTCTGCCCATTTTAGGAAACGCCCAAGAAGCAGAGCAATGCGAAGCCAAAACTGTATGCTGCTTCGCTGTCGGCATTCACTCTCAAGTTATTTTTAATTTTAAAAAAAGACAGGGACTCCACACACTGAGGGCTAGGGTGGCGTCCTGTGGTGAGAGAGCAGGGAAAACAGGCACCTATTGGACCAGCACCATGGAGACGCTCACAGTAACCCCGCCCTGGACAGCCTCCCTGTCCCTCCTCCCAGGCAGGACACACCTGCTCAGAACCTGGCTTTCTGATCCAGAGACCACAGCAGGAGGCCGCCCTGCCTGCCAGGGGGTCGCCTACGAGTCACCAGGCACTGGAATAAACCAAGAAAACGCAAAGCTGCCTTTCAGCACCTGTCTCTTGGGAAATAGGTTTCTGAAACAACCAAACTGCAATTTTCTGAGCAGGAAAAGTGGCCTTACTTGACGCGTGGTCTGTTATCCCAAAAGACCCGGTGGGCAGGGGCGCTGCGGGCAGACTGAAGCACTAACACGGTACAGCAGAACAGCAAAGGGCACAGGCCCTGGGCCACACCAGTCACACTGGCATCCCGGCTCCCACCAACCAGCCTGCGAATCAGGGCAAGTCACTCTCCTAAGCCTCAGTTTGCTACCTTAAAGGTAACCTACCGCTTGGAGTTGCCAGAATTAAGTTAGACGCTATGTATGCAAAGGGCTTGGCACAGTGCTGGGCCCACAGGAAAAGTGGTGGGAGAGCAAGCTGTCCCTCCCCACCCTGACCCGTTAATTACCTCGGTCAGGTAGCCGGTGGCGTTCACGAACCTCTCGAAGTCGGCGTTACTGACTTCATAGGCGTCCATGTAGAAGGCATCCACGGTGACTCTCCGGGCGGGCGCCTCCCCGTCCTGCTTGATCTGAGGGTCATCCGTGCCCATCGTGAACACGCCGGCGGGGATGGAGACCATCTGCAGGGAGGGGGGAAGGCGCCCGGCACACAGTGAGCCCCCGGGACTGAGCAAACCCCACGGGCGGAAATCACTGTCCAATACACCAAGGAAACAGAAGGACCAGTCACAATAAATGCAAGCTCTCTAGAAAAGGGGTTTCTCTGGTCAAAACTCTACATGTAAACGTGAGGGCCTGCTGTGGAGGCGGGTCTGGCTACAGTCCCAGCCTGCCAATGACTGGAGCGGAGGGTCATGGCGAGCATTCCACGTCAACATATGCGGGCATTTATCCTTCAGCACCCTCCAGTTTCTTGTGAATTACTGTTAAAAGCAAATGTAAAAATGCCAGATGAAATGTGTTTAAAAACCCACGGAATGAATGCGGGCCTCCCATGAGAATGGAAATGTCTTAAGTCGCTGGGACTGAAAATCTAAACTTTAGATTCTAAAGAGCCTAAGGGACCAGGTCTCCTCCCTATGCCCTTGTCCCAATTATTTCCTGATTGCAGCTCCTTGGATCCCATTATCAACAACCACGGGTTCCTACTTTGTGTTTCCACTGACTGTCTTTGCTAGCGGTTGCCTTCATTTCCGTGCCTGCGTGTCCCAACGAACATGGAACTATGTTCAGTTATGACATGTGGGTCATAAACATCCTATTACTTGTCTTCAGAAATCAGGCCTGACCACTCCCATCCCTTGATCCCAACAACAGAGGTCACCAGTCCTGCTGGGTCTCCCAAACTTCCATCCCTCCAGCCTCCCCCCTCCTTTAACCCCAGATACTGCAGTCGCCTCACCACTGGCCTCCCTGTCTGGCCTCACCCTTCCTCACACTCCTTGCTCCTAAGCCCTCGCCCCTCCACTCACTCATCCATTCCCCACACCCTGGACCCTCCACTCACTCATCCATTCCCCACACCCTGAAGCCCAACCGAACTTCCTGAAAGGCCAGGCTCCCGTCCCCATGCGGTTTAGACAGCTGTTTGTAACAGGGAGATTAGCAACCGCCTAAGTGCTCATCAGCAGAGAACTGGCCAGGAGAGCAGCTGCTGGTGACCAGCCCTTCCCGGCCTACGCGCTGCGGTGCCAGGGCCACCAGGACAGCAGGTCTTGGCCCTCAGGCTTCTGCAGGAGGGACCCACAAGCGGGCGATCAAGTCAGGGACGCGGAGGCCGGGTTCCTTCAGTCAACGAAGGACGAACCAGCCCTTCAACCCCACCCCGTGACTTAAAATTCTGAGTATTCATTAATAAGGCAGGGGAAGGGGCGGGAAACGGGGGGTGGGGGAGGATGAGGGGCAGCTGGCCTCCAAGTAAACC